TTTGAAGAATGAAGATCTTTAAATCTTCTTCAAAAAAGTTTGACGATAACATCTTCTTTTTGGAGACCTTCATGAACAAGTTGGGCAGGATAAGACAAAAAAAAGTTGGTCAGGATAACAAAGCCTTACATGGGGTCCTGATAGGGACCCATTGGGTACACATGCTTTACTCGGATGAGCTTTGCCCACCCATGGCGACTTTCGGGATGTCATACCCATCTATACCCACCAATTTTTCCATACTTTTTGAACGCAATATGCCATGAACTGATGGCCTTGAGGCTTATTTCTCTTTGCTCTGATTGCAAACTTTCAAGCTGCATATCAGAATTTATCGTAGTCGCAGCGTGGTTAAGTGCTGCACACTACGTAGTGATGATTGCAATAATATAAGATATATGGTGATTAATATTGTAAATCGGTTTATACCCCATTGTTGAGTACCCACTCATACCCACCCACAAGGCCATGGGCGTACCCATACCTATTGGGTATTGGTGGGTGTGGGTACCTAATGCAGGGCTTTGCAGGATAAGAGCTTTCAAATATTTTCTTATGGGCAAAAAAGAAAGTGGATAGGGAAGAATTGTAAGGAAGATGAAGAAGGGAAATGCTATAAGCAAGTAAAAACTTGTATGGAAGCATCCTTTTTATAAATGATGTTGGGATTTCTCTGTTGTTGCCTATCAAATCTTAATGCAATTGATACAATTGTTGAAAATTATCATAGGATGGCATTATCATGTTAGGGTGTTCTGCTGTGGATGTTGACACATGTCGTTAGTTGGGAATTTATTTTTGTTCTTATCATTTTGCTATATATTTTTTGCTTTATTTCTTATTTGTTGAAAAGTGTAATTGTAGGAGCGGTTGTTTTACATTTTGGCAAGAACTAACGTCCCTTGAGATTCAAATTGACTACAAAGAGGATGCAATTAGAGGACACAACATGTTTAAAGTGTCATACCTTAGTTATTTGTCATCTGAGTCAAGCTAGATTCACCGGCGGATTTCCAATTGAAAAGTTACCTAAAAAAATGATGATTCCATAGTCCTATTTTCGTAGGATTTTTCTGCTAGTATTTCTAGTGGAAAATAACCTTTGGAAATACCTGCAGTCAAGCTGCCAATTATTTTCGCCAAAAGAACAAGTGGATGTCACCGACCAAAAATCCGCTGGAATTACCGGCGGACATTTACCGCCTGAAACGCTGGAACAATTCGTTGTATTGTCGTTTTCGACAGATTATCCGTCAGAAATCTACCGAAAACCTATAGCAAAAAAAGCCCATCCTCAAAATAGGACTTCATCGAGTGGAATTTTCAATTGTTTTTTTGCCGCAAACTTTTCTGGCAACTGATCTCCCAAAAATTTATCATCGATTTTAAGTAACATGGCGGAAATTCCACCGGCCATTCCGCCGGAAACATTCCGGCGGAAAACCCGGCAGTAAATTTTGTCAGTAAGAACTTATCGTCGACTAAAGCGACGAATTAGCAGCCGGTCGGCGGCCGAAAAAAACGTCGGATTATTTCTGGCAAAAAAACCGCCGGTTTGTTCGCCTATATTTCCAGCGGACATATGTCCGTCTAAAATACTGCCGGAAATTACAGTTTTTCCTCTAGTGGAAAAATTAAATATGATTAGTAAAAAATAAATATGATTTATATTATTAACAATTTTGTTTAAAAATATGTAATGTATGTGCCTAAATTTGAAAATTTTAACGAAGTTATTTTGTGCCACTTCACTTGAGAGTTTTACTTTTGCCTTGTTTATATAGATTTTTAGATTGCATGTGGTTAGAACTCACATGGGGTGATGAGACCATGTAGGTAAATTTTGGTGGTGGTTGGTTGTAGAATGAGTATTATAAAAATTTAATGTTCATTATAAAATAATTTAATTTAAATAATTTTATTAAATTTAATAATATGTTTACTAAATTTATTTTATTATTTATATCGAATAACATTGAACTAGTCGATTCTAAGGAATTGGGACCGGTTCAACAATTGGCTAGTCAAACTGGTAGTCGTTGCTGGGCCAATTTTTAATGTGAACTGAACTGTTCATATGACCAGTTCATGATTGGATTGGTCAAATTGGCCTATCTAGTCTGGTTCTCAAAACCGTGCTAAATATGAAGACACGATTGCAAGAATTATGCCCAAGGGATAGTGATATTACATCACTAATTAAAGAAGATAAAGAAGAATTTTTTTTTTGTACATTTGGATTTCTAATGAATGATATGAAATTCATGAGATGAGTTCTAAATCATTTCAATATGAAGTGAGTAACTCAAGCATATACTAAGTGTAAATAGAATTATGAAAATGGTAAAAATATATGAATTCACTTTCATTGTGACTATCAAGCAGCAACAACAACAACATCAAGCCTTTATCCCATTATGTGGGGTCGGCTATATTAATCTTTTTTCTTCATCGTGCCTTGTTAAAAGTTAAATTTTCATTTAAATATAATAAAGAAATATCATTTCTAATATTTTCTAACCAAGTCTTTTTAGGTCTACCTTAACCTTTCTTAACGTAAGTCAAATATAATACATCTACTTTCTTAATCGGGTCATCAGAAGGCCTCCGTTTTATGTGACCAAACCATCTATGAAGCAAGGAAATAAATTAAAACCACTACCACGAGAAGCATATTGATTCAATTCATCTACTTGTTCAATCGTGGAATGTGATTCGTTATCATTTTTATCCTTCTGAATGCAAATATTTTTTTTAATCCTACTATTGAGTTCTACATCTTGGGGTTATTATATTATTTATTATAAGTAGAAATTTGCCTTGCATATAGTTGCGAGTTTGAGTCTCTTCTAAGATGGCCTCCATGGCCTTCTTACTCACTGACTCATTTGTGCCATTAACTATAAATAAATTCCATTGCATCAACGAGGCAAACCTTCTTGATCAACCTCATCTTCTCCTTGACCATATTTTTTATTTTTATGATGGTCTTCATCAAATTGACTCTTTTTCATTACCTTTCATTCTTGAAGGCACTAACTGTCTCCCCTAGTTGGTGGTGATCCTTGGGTCGATAGTTTTAATGTCTTCAAGACTTAAAAGCTTGGTGTTAAATTCTTGGAGCTGTAGTATCTAAAATGGAAATAAGTTATGCCTTTATTTCCACCTCTTCATTAATTTGGACAATAATTGGTCCACCAACTTGCTTACGTCTAGGATCTAAGGATGAACGTTAGGCCGAGAGTTAGCCTTATCTCCATGTCACTCATGGCATATTAAATTTGCTTGACATTAAAGCACAATTCTTCTCGATCTCCATCATAGTTAATGTCCAAGAAGTCATTGGCCCTACAAATGTCAGTCATGGAGTAACAACCAATGAAGCCTATAGAGTTGTAACTAATACTAGAATTGCGCAAGTGTGTTGGTAAGGTCTCCATGCCAAGCTGTAGGGGCCCTTTCATTGTGGCTACCACGATAACAATCATCGTCTAAAAGATCAAAATAAAAAGCACAGACCAAGGCTATAATCCATAATGACTGCACAAATGCATGAAGGTGGCGCGGGGGTTTTTGAAGCTTGAGGAGTGGTAGATGGATGTGCTTCCTTCCTACTAATTTCACATGAGGCATTTTATATTGTTTTCAAACCATCTTATTTTATAAGTTTAAATATGGTTTGAAAGCACATGTAGTTTATATAAGCTGTAGTTTTGGCTCTACTTCCAGTTTTCATCAAGTATTGTCCAAATAGATCATATATCAATCTCAAAGAACTAAAGTTTAAAAAGATGCAAGTGGCTTCACATCTAAGGATTCAATACTCAAGCAAACCTAAGAGCAATTCTATGTGGAGTAATCTAACACCTAATGAGTGATAGAGCTTGACCAACTTTTGTTAGGTTGTGCTTGGCTACCTTTTGATTGTATTTCTAGCATCTTATAACATTTGTAGCAAACTGGAGTTTTGAAAATGATTTTCGGCATCCTAATAATTGGTTTAGTGCCAACACCATATTGTTCTACCTCCATGGCGCCTTTGCAAAGAAGAAGTACAACAATACTCTTTTTGCCATCTCGATATTGGCTAGTTGACAACCACACTACCTTGTCAGTCTAATAGCAAGTGCCATATGTCTCCATTTGCCTAGCTAGACAAGGATTAGCGAATGCATACTTCCTAATTTAGTTCTAATTCTTTACCGAATGGTGGTAGACAAGTTGAAGCCGTTATAGGGATAAGTATGTAAAGCCTTAACAATCTAACAACAGTCTCATCATATTCTATAGCCTAATTTTATTTCTAAATACTCCATGCATTATTAATGTAAGGGCTTCTTAACAAAAGGAACTTTAGCTGGCTTTAAGAGAGCAATGATCAGGTAAAAAGATTGAAAGAAAAGATCTCCAATTGTAACTATCCTTACTAAGTGACGACAAGAAGAAGCCAATCCTTCTTAAGCATATGTGTTTTTTTTTTTCTTTGTTTCCCCCTTATTAATCTCTCCCCTTTTCCTTTCATCATGATCTATACCACCAAAGTATCTTTATTGTCCGATTTTAAGCAACTCTCTTTTAGGCATCAAAATCCAACACCAACAAAATGGATCTAAGGATTTCCTTTATTTTTTTTAATGGTAGACTGCAATCTTACTCAAAACCTATTTATTTATCCTTAAAGCTTAATTATGTCGAGTTAGCTTCCCCCTTGGCCTACTTAGCTCCCCATGCACTTTGATGAGGCAAGGTACTTTTTCATTCTTTTCACCTTTGCAAGCTTCATTTTAAGCGCTTTAAAATTCTGTTGTTGTGGCGATATAACCTTTATGGAAGTATTTTTATTCTCAAATATTATGTTAAATTAAATTCTATATTTTTTCTGTCATGTCATTCAATTTTCATGGCAATTTGGCAAGCCATTTTTAGCCTGAACAAGTTGGTCTTTGCATTCTAGCTCGAGAGTTGATAACTGAGAGTTGTATATATTGCTGTTTTACCAGGTGGTGGTTGGAAGCTTCTTGCCAAATGCTTTCAAGGAGCATAAACGAAGGCTCAACCAAGATTCTTCGGCTTTCCCCCCCATGCTACCTTCGTCATGTGGCACGGGTGCGGCACCGTTACCACACGCCATCGAAGACTGCGAGGAGTCAAAATCCGCAATTCAAGGGCCGGCGAGTGGCAACTTGCAGAACAATCAGAACAATGTGATCAACATCACGGATCTAAATCCGCCGTCGTTCCGTTCAGTTCATTGGCAAGGCCTGCAGCCCTCACCAGAGCAGAAATCTTCTCCAGATATTAATATATGTTTACATGGAGATTAGCACATTTAGAGGTATTTTTTATCTTGCTCCTAACATTTAGTTAATGAGCTAACAATTTCTAGCAGGTTTTCTTTCTGTTTCTGCTACTGAAACCTTCAGAGTGATTTGTCTTCGTTAATTGCTTCTTGATGACTTGTTTGTTTTTAGTTTTCTGTACTTTGGTTTATCAGTATTTGCAACTTCTGAATATTGTTCTCTTTATTACATTCTATTTTGAGAAATAGTTTAGAATGGCTACATTTGATGTGTGCTGCTTGCAGTAAATGGCATTTTTCTTTATAATTTTTGAATTGTCTTTCTATCAACTGGTGATCAAGACAGTGGTGATAAGAAATAGCTACGCAGGAATATTTTGGGATGATTTTTTTATTGTTTCTTAAAGTGATTTTTCAGTTAAAAAATTAAAATTTTTATACTAGAAAGCAGCTTTAAAAAACAGTAAAAAAAGCCGTCCGAAAGGAATTATATTATTTGTTATGAATTGATCGGTTAATTTAGACAAGCTTGACAAGGTAATTAATAGATGTTTTCAGGGAAGTAAGTACATATATGCACTTCATAGTGGTACAAAAATGCTGAATATACCAAACCTCTTTTATTTTTAAATAGCCTTTTATAGCAAATCAAAAACATGGAAATTTAATATTTAAATTTAAAAAATAATTAAAATATATAAATAAAAACAAATATTTTATTTTCAAAATATTAAATATTAACTAATTTAAAATATTAATTTTTTTTTTAATTTTATCTTTTAATCCACACATAAATATATCAATACATTCTAAGTGAATGAAATAATTTCTACAAAATAAAGAATTCAAGCTTTATAGCTAAAAAAAATATCATATATATTATATTCTCTATTGAAGAACACCCTAGAAGGTTCCACACACTTCCATTTCCATGATTCCACCAGCTTCTGGAAGCTTGATTCCCTTATTCCTTTAACACCAGCGCATTACAATGAAGATCAAGCCACAAGGTTCCACACACTTCCATTTTCATTACTGTAATATCTCAAATCAGACCGACCGGCTTGGCCGGTCCGGTTCAAAACATTTGCCTATAAAATGGGCGAGGTCCGACATAACCCATCATCTGCGACAATGGCACTGAAGCCCGTAAGCGTAAACGAAGAGGCGAAGAAAGTGTTGGAAGAGGAGCTGCCGAAGAAGGCGCGCCACCCGCACACCATCCGCTACATAGAAAAGAAGATGGTCGACAAAGGCTTTCACCGAATGGAACGCCATCCCGGGGACGGCATCAGCCTGGCCCGCAGCCCGCCCAAATCAGGCCACGGCGGCCCGTTCACTTGGGAAGGTCCCGATAGCGAGCTCGAGGCCGATCCTGATCCGGCGGCCTTGGATGAGGCCGATCCCGATTATGTTGAAGAAGAGGAGGAGAAAGAGATGGTCGTTGGGGAATTGGAGGTGGCTAAGGTGGCTGAGGCCAGAGAAGGGGTTTCCAGAATTGAGATTCGAACGCCTGATCAGGTTTAGGGTTTCCGCTGGCGTCTTCTTCTTCTTCTTCTTAAGTGATGTGGGCGTTTTAACATAGTTACAGAGGCTTACTTTGAAGGGAAATGGTTGTTTTTGTTTGCAGGAGAAATTCTTCACATGGATTACTCTCTGTGTGAGGAAATCATGCCATGTTAATAGTTTGCTGTAATTTTAATGCATAAAATTACCAGTTTTTATTATCATTAAGCAACTGTTATATGATCAATTATGAGCAAAGATTCAGAAATAGTTTTGTTACAAATATTTTCTCGTGATCAAAGGAAAAAAAATTGAATCCTGATAAGTACTCCAAAAATTTGCTTGATCGGGCACGAATCTCGAGGCAAAAGCTATTTGGAAACTTCAAAAATTAATTTTGGGAGCACCCGAACTCCGATTTCAGCGAGCTTACTGTCAAACTGAGCGTCTCGGAAATACGAACCCAACGACACCAAATTCGACCCAATCCGAGCCCAAATGAGTCCGGATCAAGGACCCGAAGCGCTGTTGGAAGCTTCAAACCGCAATTTGAGTTACCAAATGGTCTCCGATTTTGATGACCTTATACTCGAATTGAACGGCTCGACGAGATGAATCCAACGAGCCCAAGATCGCCGAATTCCGACATCATTAAGGCCTGCAAATGCCCAACGAACGGTGCATGATCAAAGGATTCCATATCGGCCGTCCATTCAAAACACTCCCAATTCGCCCTTGATCTCACGCCTATTTACGGGCTATGCCACTCCAGAAAAATTATAAATAGACCCCTCATTCTACACCAAGGGGACTCAAGTGAAGAGAGAGAAGAAGAAGAAGAGAAAAAAGAGGAGAAGGAAGAAGCTCCTCCTCGACCACCATCGGAGCTCTTCCTGCCGCTTAAAGACGCCGGAACTCTGCTGAATTTTCGGGAAACGCCTGAAATTTGCAGAACTTTGTAACTTTATGATTGTAAACTGATCATCTTGATTTGTAAGACGGATCAACCTTTGTACTTCATACAAACACTAGTGGAACTTTACAACTGGGCGAGGCCTCGTGGTTTTTTCCCTTTTTGAGTTTTCCACGTAAAAACTCTGGTCTTCATTTCTCTTTTCTATTTGTGTGCGGAATACTCGTGCAACGCTAAGACGAATATTTTCTAACTCTACTGCCGCGTATATTCTAGTACGCAGCAAATCCAAATGGCAAATTTATTAGATTCAGCGGATTGCAATACATAGTTAATTAATAGTGTTGGACTAATAATTTATAAATAAGATTAAGGTGTTCGAGATTCATCCTAATCACTATTTGAAATATATTCTATTTCAAAATTAATAATATTGGTGAAAATGAGAAATAAGTATAAACAATCCATAAGTATAAAATGAATTCATTTGAAAAAAATATGTATGGAGTGTTGCGGCGTTGGTCTGGAAAATGCAACAGTGTTGGCTGTAGAGGAGCTAGCAGTGACTCCAGAAAATGCTGCTGTAGTGCTAATGCTTTCTGTGTTGTAGTAATTTTGTAGTGCATCCGCTCTAAGCATGAGAGTGTTATGTTGCCAGACATTAAAATGGGTTTTTCTATATTTTCATATAAATATCTTTGTCATTCTCTCCCACCCTCACTCTTTGCTGGTCCAAAATTCGACCGGGCAACAAACAGGAAAAAAAAAAGTTATAGTTCGACGGCCGGAGTTCAATGAGATGACATAATAAATAATAATATTATTATAAAAATGAATAAAATTAAAAATATAATTTCATATAAATTATTGCTTATTTATATTACATATTTAAATTTAATTTATAAATATAAATTATTTAAAAACTCACAATATAAAATTATAAATATAATTACTTATTTTAACATAAAAGTATTTAATTTGGTAACATAAAATTTTTTAGAGGTGAAAAATTGAAATTTTGCAAATTTTTAAACATAAGAATATTTAATTTGGTAAAAAATAAATATTATTAACTAAAAAATAAAA